TCTTGTTATCTAGTTCTTATATCTTAAATTAACCCATTTCTATTAATCTATAAGTTGCCACATGGCTTGTGGCTTACCGGTATCTTTTACACATTTGCTAGTCATGGCGGTGGCTGGCAGCATTGCTCTGACTCAGCTTTCCACTTCCCAGAATTCTCCTCTCTCCTTGTCCCGCCTAGACTTCCTGCCTGGCTACTGGCCAATCAGTGTTTTATTTATTAACCAATCAGAGCAACACATTTAACATACAGACCATCCCACAGCACTCACACATAATAGTGAAGTTTTCAATGGTTCTAACATTATCTCTCCCTTATTATAAGATTCATAGTACTAAAATTCTCATTTATTTTAATATTTAACCTATAAGACATAAAACATATTCTAAGATTGCATCTTTTAAAAAGTAAGAACTAAGAGTGAGAAAAGAATTGTTCAAATTAAAATGGATTTCATATATTCCATCTGTTTCTGTATTCCTAATTTGAACTTTGAATGTCCCAGATCTTAACCTTAAAAATGAAACCACTTAAGTTGCCACATTCTTACCTCATGAGGATGTTATGAAGACTAAGTAGAATATTAAGGATTTTAAATAAAAATAACATTCTTACAATGACAATTGCATTCTACTTTTGATAAAAGAAATGTTTCAGATTAAATGTTACTTTGCAAAATTCATGTCCATGTGTTTCCCAGTCTTTGCAGATTAGATCGTAAAAACTTTTGAAATAGTATCTATTGTTTGTCCAGCATTTGAATGTGCAATATTTTGACCATACTGGAACTGGCAGAAAATACAACATTGGGAGGACTATTAAGCACTGAGGAGCTGTAAAACAAATTAACTTGAAGTTATTCAATACAGATGTTTTAAGAATCAGATTGATTTCCATTTTTAACCATATTTACCTATCTTAAATCCATGTGGCATCTGTTGGGAAACATATAAGAAGGGCATATAAAAATATCAGATTCATTGAATATGATTCACAAACATTCAGATCTCCTGAGACTGGAGTTACAGGTGGTTGTGACCATCTCATAATGGTGTTGGGAACTGAACTTGGGTCCTCTGGAAGAGCAACAAAAGCTCTTAACTGTTGATCGATGTCTTCAGCATCACTAAAGGGGCTTAAATAACAAAAAAAAATTAAGGAATGAAACATAAATATACACAACCATACCCTCTGTGGTTTTGGAGTTCACTTATCTTTGATTTTACCATAGGACCTTTCAGACAGGGTGGACCTGCATTTTCTCTCCATTGACTCATTCAGTGTTCCAAAAGGAGAAAATGTTTATTTGAAAATTCTGTTGGAAATTCACCTAAATCTGAGTTCCTTTGAAGTTTTTTGAATTATTTCATAGTGAAATTACAAACACAATTGTCAACAGTTGTCATTGTGAGATCTTGTTGACGTGGTTATGTTATGGAAGTAAACATGTCTGGCCCCTCTCAGTTCCCACTTTCTACAAGACAATGACCCATCTGTGAGGTAAGAGGAACTAACTGCACTTTTTAAGAGACTAATTTCTTCCACTCCTGTAATAGGAAAACTATAAAGTGAATGTCAAACTGCTTTTTCAGTCTTTTCTCAAAATAATTGACCTGAAGTCCAGAAAAGAACACGAAAGGCAAACCATGAGATTTTGCAAAAGAAAGACTGCATTTAAAACACTTTTATTAAATATTCTGGCCAGTTCAAGTCTTCTCTTAGAAATTCATATATCAAAATATAGTAAAACCACAGATTTTTTTTTGGTCTGGATATGTATATATGTATGTATGCATCTATTCATCTATTGATGCCAGGAAAGGTAGAGCAGGTGTAGTTAGGGATACAGCCCTTTGTAGCATATATAAGGTGATTGGCTCTATCCCCAACACCACAGGAAGGGAAAGGAAAAGGAAAAGGTTAAAGCATGAGCATGGGAAAAGAAGAATGAATGCCAAATATTATAAAAGATGACATGATTTTTGTAGCATCTACTTCTTTCCCTTAACTCTGCCTAACACTGTTTGCATTAGAGACACTGAGCTTAGATAATGTGTCTTTAGTGTCTGTGTGGTTATTGAGGTCTGAGTACATGAAACATTGGCTCTGAAACAGGGGCTCCATGATCCTAGAGATTTATGATGACATTAAGGAGTAGATGTAGGTTTTCCCCAATAGTTAATAAAGTTCCATGGACTCTGAAGATTGTCTAGAACATTCTATCTCTTTATCTGACTTTCCAATCCATAATAAAAAAAAACGCTATTTTAGTTCTCTCATATGGCAATATGAACAAATGGTTAATTTAAAATATTGTTAAAAAAGTGATTATTATTTATCTGGTTTTACATGGTTGTTATGAGACTTACAAATCAAAATGTACTGCTCAAAGTTGACAACATGCCTCCAATACTGTTTTTCATGTGACAAAATGGAAGTATATTACTAACTATGCTTAAATCTTAAGAACTTGCATCAATGAAACTGTCACATTTGATCACATTTTGAATCGATGTATAAACAATTAGCAGTGGCAGGCCGAAAAGTCGCCCAGGAAATAACTCTACTGGAAGTTCCCCCGCGTGAAGCTAAAGGCAACTTGGATAGAGAGCTCTCTTTGGTTTTTCCCTGTTTGCTGCTTTTATCCTTTCTTTCATCGAGTTCAACTGAAAGTCCATGGACAGGTTTCTCGGAGACTCAACATCTGGCAGTCAGCAACAAGCTAGAGAGGTTAGACATAATTATACCTCACTGTGACTCCAGTACGTTTCCTTCCAGAGGCATACATTCAGACCTAGGTTATGCCTAGTTGGGCAAGGGCCAGAGGAATTCAGACCACAGAGTACAGATGCATAAGACAGCAATAACTCTGTTCACTCAAGACAGTTTGCCTGAAAGAGCCTTTCACAAGCTGTGCTGGCTGAGATGTGAGCAGAAGGCAGTGGCTGAATCATTCTCACCTAGAGCAGTACCAGTCATGGCGCTCTCACCAGAGAGTGAGGGGAAAACAGGTTAGAACACTAGACATGCAGCTAGGAGCTCTGTAACTGGCCAGCTCACAGGTAAGTATTCCTAAACTAGTATGTGTTCAGTTCACTGTTTTACATTTAAGTGAAGACCTAGAGATTGACTTTTACATGCAAAGAGAATTGGGTAGAAAAGACAAGTTTGAAAGAGTTTGGAAACCACAAACAACATAAAGAATTTCCATCTGAGAAGATGGGGCCCAACAAAGTTGCTGAGTTACTTGTATTTCCAATGCAAGGTTCTTAATTTGTAACCAGACATTCCGGGCTCCAATACAATATGCTAGTAAATTGTTTTATTAAAATACGTTAACACATTGCGGTTATAATTTAAAGAGCTGGTTGGCCCTATTTCTCTGATAAGTGGCATCTCAAACATTCTGTCCTCATTATAAGAAGTTCTCTCTCTCTCTCTCTTCCAAACTGTGATCTCAAAGAAACTTCACGATTAGGGAATGGTTCTTTGGTGCAGACCAATATTTATTGAAGTGTTTCTAGTTGCCTTTAAAATATTCTAATCCCGATTTGTATGGATTTTAGCTAGCTTGCCAATTATCAAACCATATGAGGAAATTTCATATAGTCCAATTAGGCATTCTTTAAGCGATCATTTAAAAAAGACTCTGTGATTTAGATTAGTGGCAAATAAAAAATTGAACATGCATGCTTGTTAAGCTTAATTGAAGATCCTTGAGCATTGCTATTACTTAAATACTCACAGTAGGCCCTGGATTCTACTATCTGTGTCAATAGGAAAAGAGAGAGAGAGAGAGAGAGAGAGAGAGAGAGAGAGAGAGAGAGAGAGAGAGAGAGAGAGAGATATGAATGAATAAATAACGTATTAATTCAAAACATCTCTATCAAGTGGCTAATACATACTGGTACCCGATTCCTACTTCAGTCCACTGTTGGAGAGAAATATTTTAGAAACCATTAAAAACAGAAAGGACCAGTCAAGAGGATGGAATATTTAAAAGATGGAAAAAACTGAGCAGGGAATCTAATATTTAGGGTTAAGAGGACCACACTGAGGAGAGGAGGTTTCTTTGAAACAGGTCCCTCCTCTTAGGCTTTCCCTGTGAAGTGACCATGTTTTGGGCTCTAAGGCCAGGCCCAGTACAGAAACTTTGGGGTCTGCCAGTTGGCGAATCCTGCTGGTAGCTTTCCTTTTCTATTCCCTTGTCTGTCCCTTCCATCCAAGTTCAGGACTGACTCTGCTGGAAAAGCAAATCACTGATCTCTTAGCTTCAGCTGCCATGCTTTCTCCCTCTCCCATGTCCTCACAGCGCAACTCTGCTCTTGAAGAGCCTAGCCCCTCTGTAGTCAGTCCTTAGCAGGCTTTGAGCCTTTGAGAAGCCTTCCACTTTCCAGCTAGAATTTACCTACAAGATGAGGGTGGTGATCTTTAGGGTCCATTCACGCCACCTTCATGCCTTCCTTAGTCTCTGGATTAATATAATAATAACAAATACCTTTGGGATCAGGCAGCGTAGAGCCCACTGATTCCATGCCTGCCTTAGGAAGCAAGGTTTTTTGCAGAGGGATAAGGTTACAGCTGCCAGCCCAGGACTCCAGCCGTGCGGCCAGTGAAACGTGGGCCTTCTCCCCTCCTCCCGCTCCCGCCTCCTAAGGACGAGGGGCTCCCAGACCGGTGCAAGCAGAGTGTCTTTATTGGATACAGAAGCTCCTCGAACGCCCCGTGTGCTCCGTGGCTCCTCAGCAATTCCTTTCATTCCCAAAGTGCAGTAGCCAAGCACCGGTCGCGCCTAACTCCCTCCCATTTCATTTCGGGGATTTGGGGAGGGGAGGAGGGGGAGGTGGAGAGGGAGAATGGGGTTGGGAGGGGGTGGCCGGTGGGCTGGGCCTGCATAAGTCTGGATCCTCCGGCGAGAGACTGGGCGGGCTTGGGGCTGCGGGGACGCGTGTGATTGGGTCTGACCTTCAGTCGGCTTGTCAGTTTCGCGGGCACACAGCGGGGAGGGGGAGTGGGCGGAGGAGGGGGCTGCCTGAGCCTCTTGTCCGGCCCACCGACAGCATGAAGCCTTTAGGGGTGCTCAGTGCTTTCAGCTCTTTCCTTGAAACCTCTCATCCGCCCTCAGTCTGAAGGTAGGGCTAGACGTAGGACGGATCTCGGGGTCCCAGTCTGCAGGGCCACCCCAGAGGGAGAGGAGGGGGCGAGAGACAGGAAGGAAGCAAATCATCAAATTGGAAAAAAAAAAAATAAGAGCCCTTTGACTTTTTTTTTTTTAAACCCCCTCTCCCTTCCGGATGGCTGTGTAGCAAGCGTAGGCGACACCTTGGAAGGGACGAAGCTGGTCTGCAGTGGCAATTTCGTGGGGTTCACAGTTGTGAGCGCGGGGCTTGGAGATGGAGCCCTGGTCCAGGTGGAAAACGAAACGGTGGGTCTGGGATCTCACCATCTCAACCCTCGCCTTGACCTTCCTCTTCCAAGCCAGAGAGGTCAGAGGAGGTAAGGAGAAAAAAAAAAAAAAAAAGTTTGGGGAGGTGGGACACTGCCACCCGGCTTTCTTCTCCTGGTGCCCTTCCCCCTTGACTTCGCCCCACTTCTTTTAAATAAAATCCAGATTGTAGCTGCTACCAGGTTAGAAGTGGAAAGCTGGAGGGAGAGACAGCGAGATGGATGTAGGCGGGACAGTAACGGGAGAGGAGGTAGGTGGCAGGATTAAAAGATCTGTCAGGCACACAGCAGGCTGAGAAAGCCCTCCGTCCCTTTCCACTTACTTGGCAAAAAGGGGGAAAAATATTACTTTGAACGGGAAGGCAGTCGTACAAAGCTTTTGTTTGAAGAATAGTCTTTACTCAGAGTACTCTGCCCTTTGAAGAACTCTTTGGGTTTCTCCAGGTTCTAATGGGGATATCTTTTGAAGGGTGAACTGAGGAGAAAATATAGAGAAAGGGTATAAAGTGAACTGTGATAAACTTCTTTGTCTGCGAGGAAGTGAGAAACGGGCTGTTTTTACTTTGGGGGATATAAGAGAAACCAGGGGGATGAATTTAGAAGATTGAAAACACTTTGTGTGTGGCATTTTGAAATGCTTCTCAGTGGAACACTTTTCACAGATGATAAGGTGGAGTTCAAGACGGCGCGCGCGTGGGGGGGGGGTCACTTTCCCTGATGTGTAGCCCCCTCCTCCTCTCCACGACCCCCTCACCTCCCCTTGTACCTTGCCCCCCACGAACAGCTTCTTCTTGCAGGTTGGACACGCAACTCTCTTGGAGGGTAATGAAAATCTCCAAGCAAATAGGGTGGGTGTGGGGGGGGGGCAGACGAATAGGGATTGGGAGGAAGAGGAGGGGGCCTGGGATGGGAGGAGGGAGGTGAGGAAAAGTTCCTACGTGGCACCACCAAATATTGAATGGCCAGACCTGTGTAGCTCACTGTAGCCCTGTCAGTACCGGAGGAGGGAGAGCGACTTCACCCCTCCCACCGCCTCCTCCCTCCCTTACCCCCGCCCTTTCCCTAAAAGGCATCTGGCTGCGGCGGTCCCTTAGGTGCTGCGGACTCGGCTGGCAGGAGAAAGCCTTTGGAGTTGGGGAGCCAGAACAATTCACAGGAGAAAGCCAGCTTTGTCAGGAGGGCCGAGAGAAGCCGGGGAACAGGGAGGAGAGGAGAGGAGAACGGAAAAAATGCCAACCCAACTCTGAACGTGCAGGTTTAGAAGAAACCTGAGCCTGGCCATTGGTCTTGTTCCCCAGATCCGAGAGCTCCCTAAAGAGTTAGCGCTTCAGGAGGCCCAGTCCTAACCTTGGCTCCTATGCTTGGGGACTTTATGCTTCCCAGCAGCAGGCAGTTTCTCATTCAGCCTGTGATGAGCACTGGTGACCCTGTGGTCACAGTGGAACTCCATCCGAATTCTGCAGTGATTTGGGTTATTTGCGTTGATTCATTTCAACTTCTTCAAGGATAAACATTAGCATCTTTGAAAGTAGACTGCCTCAAAAAGTTTGCATTTTACCTTTGGTACTTTATTGCCTGTTGGGTTGGTCAGCGGTTCTGCCCTCTGCTGGTTTTCTTTAGTATTCAAAATTCAAGCATCAGCCACAGCAAAGGAAAGTCTATTACTCAGTGATACTGAAAAATGTCACTTGTCTAAGGAAGAATAGATTGCTGTTTCATCTCAGCTTGTCAAATACAAGTGTAGACACGAATATACTAGTGACAGTTATGTAAAAGTTCAGAATCTGAGATGTTCTGCAGTGATTACCAGTATTACGGGTTACCTGAATGCATTATCTGCCTGAAGATATTTATTTTTCCTTTCTTTACTGGGATTTCCAGTCAATCAGATTTCTGTGCTTTTAGGTCATAATTTTCTATTTGCACTCTTAACTATAAATCATAAAAACTCCCTTAGAAAATATCTCAGGACCACATCACATACCTTGCAGAAAATAATGTTCTCATATTGTATAAGGCTAAAGAAAGGGAGAAATAGTGAAGCATAGGATCAGATGTTGTTTCTGATGAAATATGTTGAAAATAGTATAAGCCATTAGATAGTTACATGGAAAGATTTGAGTATTTTTTTTATGAACTTGATAGGTTCTTGTTACTTAGTGGAAAGCTACTTATTTATTCAATTTCAATCTTATAGGCATTCATTCTTTAAACCTATTAAAATTCAAAAAAGAAATGATAGGAAATAAATGCTTAAAAGAGAAACACCACCATCAAAGCCCCAGTCGCCACAGAAGGGGAAAGTAAACTCTTTTTCTCTACTTCTAAAGCCAGCATTTAGAATTGTAGCTAGAAGACTGAGTGAAATTTAACATCACTTTTTAAATGGAAGTATCTTATTCTAGTATCATCCTGATTTAACGGATTTCCCAAAGGTATGTGTGTGTGCTTCTGTTGCTAAATCAGAAGATTATTTAAAACGAGCTGGTATTCATATAACATTGGAACATTAAAACAACATGCACAAGGAAGTTTTTGTGTTTTTTTTTTTTTTTTGGAAGTGGATGGATTAATGAAATTGATTTCACATTTTAGTTTACTGTGAAAATCTAAAGTAACTCAAAAGTCTTCAACATATAGTCTCTACTATGATTTCACACACACACACACACACACACACACACACACACACACACACAAGCTGTTATTTAATGGGTTTCTATTGATATTAGCTTTTGCTTTATGTTTGATTTATTTACTGTGTTTCACCTCAGGACTTCAGGGATTTTGTATGTGCATAAATTAGCCCATAACTTACTACACACAGGACCTGGGATTTATTTGAAATTTATAGTGACTTTGCTGTGCCTGTGTTAAAATGCACTGCTTATTGTGTGGGTTTTAAACCAGTCTCATGAAGAGCTGGCTAGAACTGAATACTATGACTGTAAATACCTAGATGAACTTTTTAAAAAAGCTAATTATAATGGCTTTCTGCCTTCAGCTGTTAAGCCGAATGTGTCTTGTAGAATGTTGGTACGTTCTAAGAGGAATTTGGATGGCGTGCCAGCAATGGGTAGTGAGCACTGCAGAGGAGCTGTTCTGAGTGCCCGGGATCAGCAGGTGAAATGGTGCTGGCTCCCAGGCTGTGTGCTGATTCAACCTGCGAGGAGCGAGCCCAGGCTTGTCTCTGTACCTATTTAATTAGCATAAGTTAAAATATCAGGCATGCTCTTGCTAATAAGTGTGGTATTTGGTAGGATAATTAATATGTGTCTTTTCATAAAACAAAAGAACTCATGAGTGAAACCTTTTTTGCATGGATTATATATCAAGAATTAGTTGGGGTGGTACATATTTATTTAGTTAACAAGGACTCTTTCATCTAATGCCTATTTGTTTTATTATCATAATGTGTAATTTACATCAGTTTAAAACAAAATTATTAAGTAGATAAATAAAAAATATATGTACAAAGACATCATTGCTTATTGTTTAATTTTTTTGATTCCTTATTTTTTTTTTTAAACTTGTGACTAAAATAAAAGGCCAACATGGTTTTAATTAAATTATCCTTAAAACACAGCAAGATAAACACTGATATTTGTATTGGGTGGATTTTTTTTTTCTGAACTAGATTTTACTCAAGTTAATTTCTTAAGGTTTTAGTTTGTTTATCATTGTGTATTAAAAAAAGAATTTAAGAATATTTTTAACAGGTCAATTTATTTAAAAGTGCTCAGATAAATTTCTTTCTTGAGAATTCTAGAGTAAGAATCTACAGTAAGTGATAATCCATCCTATTTTTCATTTTAGTAAAGAGGAAACTGAGGCATAGATGGTGTTATTTAAATAATCCTTATAAAACATTAAATATAGTAAAAGGTTTTCTGAGTGCGTAGGATGAAGCTCTATAGTATTGATATGAAATATCTTTCATATAAATCTCAGACTTGATGGAATGGCCATGCTTTTGTGATGTGCTGGAGTTTTGGTTAGCAAGAAGGAAGTTTATATGATAGTTTAAAGAACATCAAGTCAAAGACATGCATTTTAAAATTTTAATTTTTTAAGTTGGGAGAAAGGCAGTATCTCATCATTTGACCATGCATGTATTGCTAATGTGCCCAATGAAGTGGATGTAAGATCGCTTGCACTGGAGTAGGAAGAGTAACTGTTTCTAAAAAAAAATGTGTACATTTATTGCCAGTTGAGGACAGTGTTCAGTAATCATAATTGAAGTAATAGTAATAGAAGGCATAATCTAAAAATTTAAATAATCCAAGGAAATTACAAAATTACATATATATGTAATATATATATATATATATATATATAGAGAGAGAGAGAGAGAGAGGAATGAGGAAATGCCATTTTGCCCTTTCCAAACCAATTCTGATCATATGATATGTATCATGTACATTGTAAGGCTTTTGTCCCATAGGTCAGAATCATTATGTTTTATTTTCATACATGTTAACAATCTTTTTCTAAATAGTTGATTTTTTAAAAAATGAGAGAATATAGTAGTTCAAATGCAAATTAAAGTTTTTATTTTTGATTGCTAAACTATTTGAAACTACAGAAATAGCCTTTAAATTGGAAATAAATGTGCAGTTAATTAAGGAAGGGCTCAGTCTGAATGAGTGGCCATGATGTCTGCTGTAGTGTGACTTCTAGTGTCACATGAGTGACTGTTGGGAAGGGAAGACACTTTCCATTTTGTATTGCAATATTAATTTCTAGAAATACTATTTTTCAAGAGCAAGTGTGTCTATTGAATTCAGAGCCGTTCTTTTCTTCAGGAATCAACGTTCCTAGGGGCCTGAGGCTACTACTATGGAAGGATTCATGAGTTCTTATAGTAATGTTTAACAGTGCATAAGTATTTGGGGGCTGTAAATAATGAGTCATATCCTTCACTGTAAATGATTTTGAATGATTCATTTTTAGGTACTTCAAGGGCAGAATTTTATTGTATCCAAAGTATGCTTTTCTTCCGCCACTCACCAATGGAGAAGTAATTAAGGGCTGTTGGTGTAAGCATTGAG